CCCCTCCCGACCGCCTGCCGACGTCGCGACGCTCGTAGGAGGCTTGACCGGGTAGATCACGGGATGAAAGCGGGTTTTGCCGACGGTGGCGACCCGGGCGGTCCCACGCCGAGGCGTATGCACCGCCCCGCGCGCGCGACGGCTCGGGTTACACGCGCTCGGCCCAGAGGCACGCGCGCGTAACCTCGCAGCCTCCTGTGCCGCCTTCCGCCGGGCCCTGAGGACACGACCTGACGCGGCGCACCTATAGACAAGTTGTTTTGCTTACTCATTTCCTCATATATTCGCCTTTATGGACTTTTTCTCATACGTTTTTTTTTCATGTTTCACAGTTACTATTTACACTCTCACTTGTCCAGCGACTCTTCCCCTGTGGCGTCACATCTTTGTATTTCGATCTCATCTCACATGATTGACCATTTGTCTTTATAGTATGTAGTTTGTGCATACATTCTTGCGGGATGTGATTTATTACATGAAATCTGTCTCGCTCGTATTCGCACTCATACTATTCGCTCTCCCATCTTTGAATTCTATTCAGGTGCTATTTTTACTTTTACACTTTACACGTCCGCACTATTTAGAGCGTTCTTTTCTGCTCTCAATTTAGACCGTCCTATTGATGTTTTACGTCTGATAAAAGAAATATTTAAATGTAAAATCTCTATGTGGAATTGGTGCCTAAAGGATATAACATTTAGCCACTTTTCAATCATTTATTCATTTTCTGTAATGAATTTCATTATTTATCCATCGTACGCCATCACTTAATTGCCTAAGGGGTCTGACTTTTCCAGACTTTTACACAATCCCGAAATATCTGTAAGTTGTTCTGTAGTGATATAATAATAATAATAATAATAATAATAATAATAATAATAAAGTAAAATCAACCACGAATAAATTTAGGACTCGGTTTGCCCAAATAACTGCGTATCTTCAGGTACTCACATTCTCACTAAGGTTCGACTTCCTTCTGTACAAATTCTGTTATTAGCACTTTATAATTACCTTATTTTTTACTTATTCACATTTTCCTGGTCTATATTATTTCTCTTATTTCTTTGCTTACAAATTGTTCTTACTATCTCACAAACTACCAAATTTACAAACTGATAAACTCATTTTAAAAAGTACAATCTATTGAAGCTTTAATTCTGGAACCAAGTACTAAACTTCATTTTACTTGACTCGGTTCCAACTTCGCATTGCTTCATTACGCTGCTTGCTACCTGCCATTGCGTCACGTGTAAACTTCAACGCTCTGAGCAAATGTCTACGTATGAATTTCCATAGAAATTCCCAACCTGTGCGTGACGCCTTGCGATTGAGTTCGTAGTAGACTATTACGTGAAAGCGAGCAGTAGACACGCAGAGTGTGTATGTTACCGAACGTCCACGCCGATTAAGTGGAGAAGGAACTTCAATATGTGACTTAAGCAAACAGATCTATGGAACGCCGGGCCTTACATTGAATATTGTGCTGTCTCTCCTGAAGCCACCCGAGTGGAACGTAAACATTAGGGTATTCAACACTGGGTTGGTACGTTCGCTTCGCCTGGATGCACGCTTAACCTGATCTGAACACCACGCGGTCGTATAGGGAGTTACTCTCATTGACCTTCCAAAAGCTATCGTATGAGATAGCACATACTTTCACAGATTTGTAGATACCATCGGCATTATCAATGCTCAAATAAAATCGTCTTTCGTATTTTGATATCGTATCTCTTACTCTTTTGTAATAAGGATGGCTATTTAGCTTTATTCAATGTCTCACAGACTCCTAGAAATCTAATGTGGGTAATGTACAATATATTTTATGAATTATAATATCCGTTTTTATTATTTAATTATGCGTTTAATTGTATTTTATGCCTCACGTTATTAGTTAGTTGGCATGTCCGTACATTGTAACGGTGTGCTGGGGAGCGACAATTTATACTGTATGCGGAAATAAAATGTGATAAAACAGTATTATTATCTTCACAATGTAAAACCGTTTAAGCCATATTCTACTAATAAAAACTACTATTCAACTACTAAAATAAAATGGCATACATGTGGCTGTAATAGGGCACGCAAGTGCATACTTTATTATGCAAAAGGGTGAAAGATGACATTTCATAAACATGAAATCTTTGTCTACGATGTCTTTTTGATATTCAAAACACTGCCACAATTTATGACCATAATTCAAATTATGATCTAGAGTAATTTGCTAAGAGGTGGAGCTCCTTCTGCCCCGCTGACAGTCCACTTAACGCCGCTCTCAGAACAACTGGCGGAGCAAGTCGAGCATTTCCCTTTCGTTTTGCGCTGTGTGTTCTCGCCCGTCGGAACGAAATGCGCCTGCCAGCTGACCCCTTTATTCAGATCGCCTGGCCGATCCTGTTCGGGGCGGGTGACTGTTGCTCAATGCTCCCGCCAGCTTCAGCAAACGGCAATGCGTCGCTTAACTATTTATGGGACTGGTTCCGAGGGGCTAGTGGGCGGTGCGAACTTCCTTGGCCGTCGGCGCCGAGAGGGCGTGGGCGGTGTTGGTGCTGGGGGCGGAGGGGGTATGGTAATAAGCACTAGACAGAGGCGTATAACGTCATAAATTATATACAATATAATATATTATAGATAATTATACGTATGTTTATAATATGTAATGGAAACAATTATACAAGACTGACGAAAATTAAGAGCAGTAATCGATTTTCACCAACTCGCAAACCCCAATCATGAACAACATAAAATGTGGTTAGAACAATAAAGCAAAAACCTTGACGACAGAATGAATCATTGATCAAAAGAAAACGAAATTATCTCTTAAGTAATTGCAAAAGCATTCTCTGTGAATGAAAGCATTTTGTAAGAGTAATTAATATAATGATTATATAAGAACAACAATAACAGAAATAATGAAGCTTCAGGGTAAAATCATGTAATTATTTGTAAATTACGTAAACAGAGTCGTAAGAGGCAATGCATATTAATGCTAAATATCTGATATTTTAAAACAAATTTTATTTAAGACAAAAATCTCTATCATCAATATTGCAATTTTACCATGTTAACGTTTTGAAATTTTAGAAAATTCAGGAAGTTTGCTGGAAATAGAGGAACTATCATTCTGTGTTTCGGCCTTTGATGCATATGAGGAGAAAATTTTTTTAAAAAATTGAAACGTTTTTTTTTCTTTTGTTATTTTGTTTTTGAGAAAAAAAACATCTATACGAGTATTTCACGCAAAATTACGCGAAAATACTTATATTTTCGAAAGAGTGTACATGCTCTTATTTAAAGATATGTCTTTAAGGAACATATTTCATTTTAAAAAATCTCTCTCTCTCATTTTTAAAAATCTTAATCTCTATTATAGTTGTAGAAAGACGTCTAAACGTAATTTTCAGCATTTGCAATTTTCGTAAAATCAGAAATTTTAACAAAAATGAGATGCGCCATTATTTTAAGCATCATTTAGATTGTCCTAGAACAAAGTTTAATCGTAACATTAGTTTATTTTAAAGAAAATGTTGAAAATGTTGAGATTGCGTGTAAATATTAAAAAATCCATTTCAAACTCTCCTTGAGTTCGTTTAGATCGATCGAGAAATATCAGTTTTGAAGAAAATCGGCTAAACTGTTTTGGCTCAAGTGTTAACCACAGACAGTCGGATAAACGGACGTTTTGGCGTCAATCGGTTTTTCGTTACCAAAATCCCACAAAGCATAGGTTCTGATACGTGTTAGAGGCAGTAATTTACTTCATTTTGAAACAATATTTATCCACTTTTTCGTTACCAGTCAAAAAGTTTTTATAAAAAAAGATCGCCGTTTTCCAGCGCACGATTACAATACATTATCTTCTTACGAAGTAAGGCGAGAAAGTAAAAGCAAATTTACCGCGAAACGCTGACAGCGACAACACTCCCCATCAGATAGCAGTTTTTATTCTGAGAGAAGGCAGCACCTTAACCTTAATATTTCCTATAATGGCGACTTCGATAATAAGTTTTACTTGACTGCTATTATCCGTGGCGAACATGCTTCGATTTTTACTTTCATACAGAACTACCAAAAATAGTGGAGCTAGAAACAGGGTATTAAATATGAATGCCGTCAATTTCACTCCAAGTGGAAGGTACATACGTTTTGTTCAACACACTAGGATAAAAGCGGCAAACCTTAAGTGTTTCAACGTGATTTAATGTTAGTAAACACCAGAGAAGTCCCTCGGAATTGTGTGTTTAATGATTTGAAGCTGATACTAAGTAGGCAAAAAATATATCTTTCACCAATCGTCAAATTCTGCTAGTTTGAAGGCATTTTAAGATATATGTAGATAGCTAAGTAAACGTACAAAGTCCTTTAGGGAGCCGTAAGTCCATAGTCTTACAGGATATGCTGTAAAAATGGCATGTTCATTTGAACATAACAAGAGTGTTAAAAAGTTTGAAACAATTTCCTTGCTATATCAGACAGTAAGTGGAAGAATTAATGATACTGGTTGTGAAGTATCAGATACTTTCAAAAGCATTTTGTAAAAATGTTTATTTGACTATCACTAGATGAGAGAAGAGATATAACTGACATTCGCCATTTCCTGTCAGAACAATAAACGAGGACCTTGATATTTATCAAGAATTGTGGAATTAAAAGCATTAGAAACCAACATGAAGGGTATTGACGTAGTCAATGCCCAGAATAATTCTAAATATTCGTATTTCTATAAATAGTCCTAGAAATAAATGGGTTAGTAGGATTGTGTAAAGAATCGAGAAATCACATTGAAAGTGCTTCTCCGGAATTGACCCTGATACTTTTCATCAGTTGATGAACTTATATCAGAGGGGTAGTGTCAATCATTTGATTTCTCTATTCTAAAATTAATTGAGTGTTACGTTATATACGTAACGTAATTCCTTTTCTTTCTATCCTTTCTTTCTCTAGCCTGCACTTTCCTATATTGAAGATTGATTGGCCCTCTGTAACTAAAGGTTTGACCGCACTGATGTAGCTTGTAGAAACGTTGTCCTCTAAGGGATTTCGCATGTAACGGGTAAATTGATGTCATAAGCATCAACTTCCCCCTCTCAACCTTCTTTTTAGCCCCAGCTCCACCCCTGGAGCTGGGGTGATTGGTGAGGAGGACGATTACCGATAAGGGGGAAGTAACTTCATCCAAGAGATTAAAGAGGAGCTCTGAACTTTCCAAAATGTACCAATGTCAAAGGAGTGATTTATGCATCCATCTTTGGTAGCTGCTTGATACCTACCACTCTCCTGAAAGTATTTGCGTCCATCCAGTTTTAGTTTGGTTAATGCTTTGATAGTCGTATCAATAAAAATCACGTAAAGTATGCCGGGAGAAACATATTCAATAGAGATAACTAAATGTATGGCATGGTGCAA